AGGAAGGAAGGAAGGAAGGAAGGAAGGAAGGAAGGAAGGAAGGAAGGAAGGAAGGAAGGAAGGAATCCACCAGGAGAATTCACCCTATAAAAGGGAAGTCCACAGATCTGAATACAGAACAGCTTTTGGGAGAAATGGAACAAACACTCCTCCATTTCCTAGCCAACTCCGGCTCATTCTTCCAAATTCACATGAACACAGTTTCCTCAGGACACCTGTCAGAACCCTTCAGTCTAGGCCAACTTCCCAAAGCATTCTGTCCCCTTGGTAGTGGCCAAGTTTGCTGAACCTAAGGTAAGTGACTGCTTAGGATGAGGCACAGTGCCTGGCATAGAGAGGTGCTTATTTAACATTCACTGAGGAGGACAGGTGCGTGAACAGGTGGCTAGATAGGTGGGTACACTGGTGGTGGATGGACAATCTGAAAACCCAAAGGGCAAACAAGAGGAAGGCCTTATACTGGAAGCACAGGATGGAGGGAGAACACTGGGCAAATAAAAATAACAGCAAATAATTATATTGCACCTTCTGGGAATTTTATTTCATTTTCCCCATGCAGAGTCCACAGCAGCTTACTGAAGAGGCAGGTCCTACAACGAGGAAATTTTATCTCTCTTTAGCTGTCAATGAGAAAATGCATTTGCTGGCTCTGGCTGACTCAAAATTTTACGGTTTATTTTCAACTCATCTATTTTAAAAACTGACTTGAATTTTGCCTCCAGCTACCTATAGTCCCTCTCAATGTTCTCTCTTAAGGTCTTTATAACTTAACCCCTAAAACAATCTCAGTTCTAACTATTCTGACCTGCTGTGTGTATAAAGTTTATCAAAAACACCTCACAGGATTCATCATTTCCACATTCACACTGTATTTCTAAAACAGCTTCTCACATGAAAAGGTAGAACAAAACTCCCGTATATTGAATCAAGGATTTGAATTCACAATTCAGACAATGTGCTATTAGCAAATGACCCTATACTTTTTTTTTTTTTTTTGCCTGTGTGCTGATCCTGGGGCTTAAACTCAAGACCAGGGCACTGTCCCTGAAATTTTTTTGCTCAAGGCTAGCACTCTGCCACTTGAACCATAGTTCTACTTGTGGCTTTTTTGTATATGTGTGTGCTTAATTGGAGATAAGAGTCTCATGGACTTTCCTGCCTGGGCAGGAAATTTGATCCTCAGATCTCAGCCTCCTGAGTAGCTAGGATTACAGGCTTGAGCCACCAGTACTCAGCTTATACTTTTTTTTTTCTGGTAATCAAATCAAATTTACTAAGCTTTTTAAATACCTTTAAGTACCTTTTTTAATACCTTTGCCTAGTCCCTCCCTCCTGTCTCCACCCATATTGTACGTTCACTTTCATCAGTGTCCATGTGAGCTCCACTGGTACATTTTTTTTTGCCCTTTTTCCCTGGAGCTCTGTACCCTCCAAAAGCAAAATTCTTTTTGCAGTGAAGACATATACATACAGGGATATGTATTCCCACCTGCAGGGCACTGGTGGCCTGTAACTGAGATCTGAGGATCAAAATTGGAAGCCCAGAAGTAAATACCTGAAGACTTTTATCTACAATTAACCACCTAAAACCTGGAAGTGGAACTGTGGCTAACAGTGCTAGAGCACTAGCCTTGAGCAAAAAGCTCAAGGAAAACATCTAGGCCAATTTCAAGCCCCTTGACCAATAAAAAATAGTTAAGAAGATGTATTCTTCTTACTCTGCGAACCACTGGTCTACATAATGACTATAGTAAGATTGAATGTACAAACTCAGATTTTCTGTCTTTCCTCTGCTTTTTTTTGTGCCAGTTCTGGGGCTATCACATGCTATACTAGTAACTGCAAAGAGGGAACTGTATACAAGAGTTAAAGGTTGTGGCCCTATCTTAAGAATTGTCACTTGAGAGAACAATCCCAGTATGACTCAAATTCCTAATTCCCATTAAAGGGTGAAAAATTGTATTAAGAAACAATACACAGTCTCAGTGGCACCTCTGTAGTCTGTAGAAAAGAACATTTGTCTACTTTAATAGATTAGATCTGTGAACTTTTTACTAGCTCGAGCATAAAAATAACTAAAGCCAGGCACTGATAGCTCATGCCTACAATCCTCCCAGAAGACTGAGATCTGAGGAACATGGTTCAAAGATAGCCCAGACAGGAAAGTCCTGGACACTTTTATCTGTAATTAATCATCAACAAGTCTTAGTGGAACTGACTCAACTGGTAGAGCACTAGCCTTGAGCAAAAAAGCTCAGGGACGATCACACATGGACACACACACATACATATAGATAGCACCAGAAACCAAGGATTCATGCCTGTTACCCTAGCTATTCTGGAGGCTCAGGATCAGTTTGAAGTCAGCTTAGCCAGGAAAGTCTCTGAGACTCTTAGCTCTTGCCTAACACGCATGCGGCCCTGGGTTCCATTCCTCAGCACCACGTAAGCAGAAAAAAGCCGGAAATGGCACTGTGGCTCAAGTGGTAGGGTGCTAGCCTTGAGCTGAAAAGCTGAGGGATAGTGCCCAGGCCCAGAGTTCAGCCCCTACAACCAACTAAAAAAAAGCAAAACAAAAAAAAAAACACTTAAAATTTTAACAAAGTGCATTTAATACACTGCTTCCATCGTTTTCCCTAGAAAGACAAATTAAGACTCCTAGGAACTGAAAACTATTTGCAAAACAAGCACACAGGCTTGTTGTCCATTGCTGAAAACAAGGGATGATGTAGCTGAAGCTACAGCCAATGCCATAGCAAAAGGCTACAGCCCTGCCTTAGGCACTCTCATAATCCAATGCTGCCCTCTAGCAACCCAAGAGCGAAACGGCACTAGTAAGACACTAGTTCCAGGCACTCCAACTTTCAGTGTTAACATTTACTATGGACAATGTTGCTGAAAGGTAAAAGAGATAGTGAGAGACCCTCCACAATTAAAAGGGCAACAGCCTTCTTAATTAAAAAATGTTCTTCCAATAAAGATGCTGGGAACAAGCCATGGCAGTTCATGTCTGTAATACCAGAACTTGGGATGCTAATATGAGAATATTGTTGAATGTATGACCAATCTGGACTACACTGGACCAGGTCTCATCAAGAAAAATACAAACCGGATACCTGTAATCCTAGCTACTCAGGAGGCTGAGATCTGAGGATCACAGTTCAAAGCCAGCCCGGGCAGGAAAGTCCATGAGACTTTTATCTCCAATAAACCACTAGAAACCCAGAAGTGGCGCTGTGGCTCAAGTAGTAGAGCGCTTACCTTGAGTTGAAGAGCTGAGGGATAGCGCCCAAGCCCCACAACCAACAAAACAAAACAAAAAAAAATACAATTATGGGATTAACTTTATAATCCAAAAGGAATGAAACCTTTAAGTTGGCATGAGTGGCTAATAATTAGTAGGACAAAAAAAGAACACTAAGTTTTTGTTTGGTCCTAGAGACTAAACTCAGGGCCTCTGTTTAAAAGCCTCAACCACTTTTTGCCTGGTTATTTCCAAGGTAAGATCTTACTTTATGCCAAACCTGGCCTGTGATCCTCCCACTTGTGCTTCCCATATTTGTCACTGGAATAGGCATGCACTACTGTGCCCAGTCACGGGGCTTCTCCTATAATTGACAGGCACTGGGCCATCATGCCTAGCCACTGAAACAAAGTTTCCTGAACTTGGATGCCCACATTGACCTCCAAGTGGGATCCACTTATCTCCATCTCCAAGTAGCTAATAGATTTGAGCACAACAGGCAAATACCAGGTTCTCATGTGTCCCTTCACGTTAGTTAAAATGGCAAGAATTTTAGAGAATCCATCTTTTTCTTTCCATAACTCTCTAGGAAGAATTAAAAGCTTAAAACTTACTCCATGAGGTCTTATTATTCTCACATGAAGTCATATGACCTTCGCAGCCATTCAGAATATCTACTAGTTAATACCCTAAAATCTAGAGATCTGTGCAGAAGGGAAAATATTAATCAGTATTAATTGGGAAGAATGAGAATTATCTGCCTACATTATTTTGGGTTAAAGATAATTGTCTCCAATTTCTCCTGTTTAGTTTAAAAGATATGCATCCAAGTTGTAGAGTGGGTGTGTATATGTGTGTGTATAGATGGAAGAGGAAAAAAAAAACGTACTTATTGTCAAACAAAACTTGCTATGTTTATTAAGACATGATTGCTAATAACTTAAGCAGAATTGGCCCCACAAATCATCTTTCATATGCATCCTGCAAAGTTTCTGAGATATACTGGAACAGGCTTCCTCAGTGACTCAACTGGATCTGAGGAAAAATAGAAGAAATTATACACCTGATTTATAGCTGTTGGTCATCACAAACATGTCCTAACATTCTAATTTTGAGACAGAATTGCTGGACTATTTCCCCTCACAACTGTGAACAACTTATACTGTTCACAATTCCTCCCAACTGTATGAATTCTTTTTTCTAACTAAATCTATCCACACTCCTACAGTCTCTTCTTCAGATTCTTCATGAATCTGAAACCACTAAGACCCAGTAAACAACTATGGTGAACAGGCTAACTGCAAAGGTCTACCGTTATCAAGCCAAAGATGCAGACATAAGGGAAGCACGCCCAATGTTTTAAATACCGGGCCACAAAACAAATAGCCATCCATATGCCCTACTTCACATGTAAGCCACTCAGTAATCAATCTCCCAGGAAACATCTATACAATAAGAGGTTTAAGCTCATGCAAGCCTGTAGATTTCCATTTCGGTTAAGCCTATTCTCCTCTATGGATTAAACATGTTCAGTAATTACAATGTTGATGACAATTACTGAGTACAATATTAGAGATCTGACCTCAAAAGAACAGAGGCAGATTGTTGTGATTTGGGTAAGAAATTCCCAAGGAAGGCTCAGGTCCGGCTATACAGCTCCTGCTCTATTTCCACGCCACTCCCCTAACTGAGGATACAGCAACCTAGGAGCAGAGAAACAAAGCTGAGCTAATGTGTACCTCTGCCAAGGGACAGCACTTGTGTAACCTTACAACCCGTAGCATTTATAAAATAGAATTTTCTTACTTCAAAGACTCTTTTTAGAAGTCCGAGTAATGGTGCAACCTGAAGAGAAAAAAAAAAAAGCTTTGTAATCACCCGAAGTATCGTCAATCTGATCATGGAATGGCATGTAAAAAGTGGCATTTCTCCTCCCCCACAGTATAACCCCTGTTTTCACTGTATTTGATGTCAGTATAGTTTGTGGAGGGGAAGGGAAAAAAACAAATTGTTTAAATAGGGATACAGGTGGATCCACTGCAACAATGAGGGGTGGGAGATGGGAAGGGACGGGAAGGGGAAACAAAGGAGGCAACAATGCTTGATAAGAAATGTACTCATTACCTTGCTCATGTAATTATAACCCCTCTGTAAGGTATTTTCACAATAAAAAAAGGGGGGGGCATTTCTAATGACTAACCATTCTCAGTAGGCAACTGGGTTCAGATTCCTCAGTCTGACATTGTTTAGGATCATAATACCTCAGATAATAGACAAAACTACTAAGTTTACTCCAAAGCATCAAATTATGATCTAGGAAATACCTAATCATCAACACTAAATAAATGTGTTGTCAACCTAGTTCACTTACTAGCACAGCTAGTAAATGCTCCATAATTGTGGAATCTACAAACTGTAAAAACCAAGAATACACAGTAACCCTTCACATTTCAAAAGCAGTTTCTACATATCTGACTTTTAAACATAAATAATACCTACCTATACATCAGGGCTTTGCCTTTCTCATTCCCTACAGCAAAATATCCACTTCTGGGAGAAAAATCCATGGTTTGGGCACGAGAAATAGTCTTCTTTTTAACAACTGGGAAGTTAGAAAATACTGTACAAGAAGGAAGATGAACCTGCAGATCATAAAAAGCCTTAAGTTACAAAAGTGGGAACTCATTCATTTCGATTGTGGCATATACATGGAAGTATTGTTCTCTGAGTATAGCAAAGTGTTTCAAAACTAAAATTTGATTTCTAAAATACTATTAATTAAGAAGGAAGGAGGGAAAATGCAGCATCTAGCATGGTGCCTAGAGATTCAGACACTTGCTGAACAATAAGTGAATGAATAGGCTGAAGTGGCAAATCAATGACAGTACCCATTAAAGTTCTGGCTTACTGCTCATAGTAAATACTAGAATCAAACTGAGTGTTGGTGTTCACACCTATAATCCTACCTACTCAGAAGGCTGAAATTTGAAGATTATGGGTAGAAACTAGCCAGGGCAGCAAAGTCTTTTTTTTTTTTTTGTCAGTTGTGAAGCCTGAACTCTGGGCCTGGCGCTGTCCCTCAGCTCTTCAGCTCAAGGCTAGTGCTCTACCATTTGAGTCACAGCACCACTTCCGGCTTTTTCTGCTTATGTGGTGCTGAGTAATCAAACCCAGGGCCTCAGGCATGCAAGGCAAGCACTCTACCACTGAGCCACCTTCCCAGCCCATAGGGCAGCAAAGTCTTATCTCCAATAAACTACTAAGAAAAAACTAAGTGGAGCTGTGGCTCAAGTGGTAGTGGATAGCCTCATGCAAAAATTCAGGACAAAACCTAGGCCCTGAGTTCAAGAGTTCAAGCCCCAAGACTGGCACAAGGAAAAAAAAAAGAGGAAACTCTAAAATCTCATCACAGGAATTGACATTTTACATTATGACGTATTTGATTTTACTGAGGCCCAAGGGGGTCACACCATTTTCCAGTATCTTAAGACTTTTTATATTTTTCAACATCTGATAAACCCCTTTACCTTTGCCATCTCTTCTCAGAGAGTTGAATCATGAAAATCTGATTCAGCCACTGAAACTGTATTCTGATTTAGAAAGCCAAAAGCTCCATGCAAAGCCTAGACCAAGTGTGAGATGGAGTAAGGTCAACTTCTAAGGAAAATGGACCCATACCTAGATAAGTGAGTGAGGTAAGTCCTCATCCAATCTGTGGACGGATGAAACCTAACAAGTTATTTTACCCCTGATTTACTGAATAAGAAATTCCGGTGATTAGAAGGGAAAAGGAAGAATGATGAAATGAGTGACAATGAATAAAGATGAATTGTATCCATAAACTGAATGGTAACTCCTTTGTACAACTACTTAAAGTATAATTTAAAATAACAAAAAAAGAAATTCTGCAACTTTGTACTACATCCAAGATTGTAGATGTGTTCATTTGAGTTTCCTACTGATGCAACAGCTTTGTTTTATATTCACAGCTTTGTGCTGGGATAACAAAACTGTTTGGATCATTATACGCAATTGCATTTAATGATACCAACATGGTTTCACTGAGGCTTTCTGAAGCTGTTATGCCTGGCTTCTTTCCATTAGATATTATGGTTGACTACCATTTTAAAAATGTGATTTGGCTGTTACTAATGAATTCCTTGTGTGATTTTACCACAATAAAAAAAACATAAAGGCTGTCATGATTACTGAAGCAAACTAGGCAGAACTAACTATTGTGCATCTTACAGAATATATTATGTCAACAGGATATAGATCCCATGGTTTTCTGAAACTATTTACTATCATTAAATTGACAAAAGGTTAGTATGAGCCAGGAGAAAAACAGAGATTTTAAAAGCTACCTCAAATTAGAACCTTCTAATTTATCAAATGACTCACTGAACAAGGAGGCAATAAAATACAAAAGCTCTATTCTTCATATTTTTTCCCCAGTGGAGTACTTTTTTTCTTTTTTGTCGGTGGTAGAGCCTGAACTCTGAGCCTGGCCCTGTCACTCAGCTTTAGCAGCTCAAGGTTAATGCTCTACTGCTTTAGCCACAGCACCACTTCCGGCTTTTTCTGCTTATGTGGTGCTGAGAAATTGAACCCAGGGCACTCTACCACTGAGCCACCTTCCCAGCCCCAGCAGAGTATTTTCTAAGGAAAATCTTACACAGAATCCCAACATATCCCATAGACAGTATAGACATTATCCCATAGACAATGATTGTATGTAATACAGGCAGAAGCTTCAGCTTCTCTTCACACTAACTACCCAAAAAAAACACTCTGTCAGCAGTGCAACAAAGAGTACAGAATCAGAATTATAATTCTGTCCCTTACTAACTGGGGCTTGGAAAGTTAATACTCTAAACAACTGTTATTCAACTCAAAACTGTTCTAAAGAGTTCTTGTTAGGGCTGGGAAGGTGGCTCAGTGGTAGAGAGCTTGCCTTGCATGCTTGAGGCCCTGGGTTCGATTCCTCAGCACCACATATGCAAAAAGAAAAAAGTCGGAAGTGGCACTGTGGCTCAAGTGGTAGAGCGCTAGCCTTGAGCTGAAGAGCTGAGGGACAGTGCCCAGGCCCAGAGTTCAGGCCCCACAACCGGACCCAAAAATAAAAAAAAAAAAATTTTTAAAGAGTTCTTAGTTAAGTAAAAAGTCGGAAGTGGCACTGTGGCTCAAGTGGTAGAGCGCTAGCCTTGAGCTGAAGAGCTGAGGGACAGTGCCCAGGCCCAGAGTTCAGGCCCCACAACCGGACCCAAAAATAAAAAAAAAAAATTTTTAAAGAGTTCTTGGTTAAGTAAACAAAATATGAAGCTTTTAAGTATGTGAAGCTTTTGTTGAGTAAGCAAGATAAAAATAACTATCTTTGAAAAACACAAACTGATAATACAAACATAACAGTACTATATAGTATCACTATTCTAAATTCTATGCTGTTTATCTAGAATAATTGCTAAATGAAGAAACTGGTACTCTGATGAGTAGAGAACTTCAGAGGTAAGTGTGACATAAAATGAGCTCCAGTGTTGGGCCAAAAGGAGTTAATGTAACACTACAGCTGGTATCCTCACAAAGGCTTATTTACAAGTGTGATCCCTGGATAGTGTCTGGGAACCTGGGTTGTAAATACTTCTATGCAACTTTTATGCTAACACTTGGCATTCTGGTACATGTATTTTGATAAGTATTATACTAGGCACAGGGTGCTGCCAAGAACCCAAAAAAAAAACTCTTGAGCATTACATCTCAGATGAGCATAGGTAAATGTGTAATATAATTCACTGTCCAGAGGAATCAAACATGTCCTATGTGAACAGTAAAGGTGGTTCCTGGTAGGTTGCACTACTTCCATCCAGTCTTCACCACATACACCTCTTCCCTTTGCTCACTTGCTTGCATTCTTTTGCTTTAATAAATTTTCAGCAAGTGAATATGACCATACACAGTTCTAAGTCTTTCCAGTAACTCACAAACCTGAGGTGGTCCTAAGGATTCCTGACACCAGGTATTTAAGAACACTGTCTAGTTATCCGAATTGAAGTAATTTTAGGTTAAGTTATTTTGAATTTCAATTTGTTTTCAAAATCTACGTACTGCCTCCACTCCATTAAAACAGGCATTTAAAAACCAGGTAAAGAAAAGCCATATACTGATACCCTACACCAACAATACTACTTATTCAGGAGGCTGAGACTTAGAAGTATCACAGTTCAAAGCCAGGCCAGGCAAAAAGTTCATGAGACTCCATCTCTAGTTAATCAGCAAAAAGCTGAGTTGGAAGCATGGCTTGAGTGGTAGAGTATCAGCCATGAACTAAATGAGAATGCAAGGCCAAGTTCAAGCCCTGGGACCAAAAGAAAAAAAAAATTAGATAAAGAAAACTGTAGAGGAATGAGGTGTTTACCCTATGTTTGTTTGTTTTCTGTCAATTGCGGGGCTTGAACTCTGGGCCTGAGCTCTGTACCTCAGCTCTTCAGCTCAAAGCTAGTGCTCTATAGCACTCTACCACTTGAGCCACAGCGGCACTTCCCGTTTTCTGGTGGTTTACTGGAGATAAGAGTGTCACAGATGTTCCAGCCTGGGCTGGCTCTGAACTGTGATCCTCAGATCTCAGCCTCCTAAGTAGTTAGGATTATAGGCATGAGCCACCAGCGCCTGCCTCCTAAGTAAATTTTTTAACATATGTTGAAAAACATTTCTGAAAGTAAGGACTACCACTTAAGAAATGTTGAGAATGGACAGCTTAGCTTTCCCAAAAGAACTGAAAACAGGAAGGTGGCTCAGTGGTAGAGTGCTTGCCTTGCATGCATGAGGCCCTGGGTTCGATTTCTCAGCATCACATAAGCAGAAAAAGACAGAAGTGGCGCTGTAGCTCAAGTGGCAAGCGCTAGCCTTGAGCTGAAGGACAGCATCCAGGCCCAGAGTTCAGGCCACACAACAGCCAAAAAAAAAAGAACTGAAAACAGAAAACTGGTGGTTAATTGTGTCAAAAACTATACTACTAATAATTTCTACAAGAGTGACTAGTCACTTCTAAAAATAATCCACTGTTCTGAAGTCACTATTATGACTTATGTTTTTTGCTTAAATTTTGAAGTTATCAATGATAAAGGGTAAAGAAATATTACCAATCTGACAGCTTCTTTCATTTTTCTTGAGGCTATTGCCAAGATTTCTGTAGTGGGATTGAAGGTCAGAGAAGTAACACCAGTAACCAGGTTCATTATAGCTTTTATTGGCTTTGGATTAGTTTCTTGGAGACAAGAATCTTGATTGTATATGTTTACCACTCCAGAACTAGAACTGCAAAGACAACAGGAAATAAAAGTATTTTAAAGTAAGTAAAAGGGCTCTCACAACCTAAGTGAACACAAATGTTAATCCACAAACTGGTGTTAGGAAAAATAGCATGTTAAGGAGAACCCAACAACTAGATGGTTCATGGCAAAACAAATTCTTATCAGTTCCACTCCAGTCTTGCAGAGCTCTTAGATAACTCAGCTTCTGTCAGCTTATGCCCACCTTTAAAATTAAAAAAAGTACAAAAAAAAAAAGCATAGAATCTCTATTATATTCATTCCCCTGATAAGTATCTATTAAATGCCAACTCTATGCCAGGCAGTATTTTGAGTGCTTAGGACACAATGTTGAACAAAAGAGATCAAGATCACCATTCTCACAGTCTATAATGCTTACTGCCTATCATCCTAATTTGTGAAAAGCAACTGTCTTTCCCCATTGACAGCTCCTCCTTCCTTTACTGTACCTGTAGGAATGTGCAAAGTAGTGGTGAACAGCAGTAAAAAGTAGGAATACTACAACCAACTGTTACAGAAATTATCTACTCCGTTTATTTAACTGTTTACTAGCAAAGAATAGTAAAAGCAAATCCTACCTAGTAATTTAATAATGTTAGTAAATCACTTATAAAATCAGTAACATACAAGAACTTTATATCAACATTTTTTGTCTCAGTGTAATGTTATGAGCATTAAAAAAATAAGGCACAGGGCTGGGAAGGTGGCTCAGTGGTAGAGTGCTTGCCTTGAATGCATAAGGCCCTGGGTTCGATTCCTCAGCACCACATAATCAGAAAAAACTGGAAGTGGCACTGTGGCTCAAGTAGTAGAGCACTAACCTTGGGTTGAAGAGCTGAGGGACAGCGCCCAAGTCCAGAGTTCAGGCCCCACGACCGACCAAAAAAAATAAATAAATAAGGCACATAATTCAGACACTGAATTAAAAGTATCTTACTATCTTAGCCCACTGTTGCTATAACAAAATATCTGAACCAGATAATATATAGGTGATAGAAATTTATTTCACACATAATTTTAGAGACATAAAAGTCCAAAAATCAAGGCTCCAGCAGTCAGTCTAGTGGGGGCTGCTCTGTATTTCCAAGATGGGAGCCTCATTACTACGTCCTCCAGGGGGCCTTACCTGCCAAAAGGAACTGAACACACTCCCTCAAGTCAAGCCCTTTTCTAGGGGCTCTAACTATAGCCAACACACAAACAAAACGTTAAGAATTACTTAATGCTTTAAAGTTTTCCTATTACTTATACATTTTCTCACTTGATTCAAGTAACTTTTTTTCTTTTATTTTTACTAGTCCTGGGGCTTGGACTCAGGGCCTGGCACTGTCCGGGAGCTACTTTTGCTGAAGGCTAGCACTCTACCACTTGAGCCATAGCACCTCTTCTGGCTTTTTCTGTGTATGTGGTACTGAGCAATCAAACCCAGGCTTCATGCATGCTAGGCAAGCATTCTACCACTAAGCCACATTTCCAGCCCAAATAACTACTTCTTAAATAACTCCTGAACCAAGAGTAGACAATCCACCAACAGGTTACAACCAGGGTGTTCTGTATACAAAGATTTTCCCAAACAGGAGATGGCCATTAATTAGCCAGAACAATGTCTCCTATGAACTGGGACAAGGAACTACCAGCATGTAGTGATTATGGTAGGAGCTGAAGCTGAAATACACAGAAGCAAGATGTAATGGCCTATGTCCATAATCCTAGCCACTGTGGATGCACACATAAGAGAATGATCATAGTTTGAGGGCAGCCTAAGCAAAACATTTGCAAGACTCATCTTGGCATGGTAGCATACACCTATCACCCCAGCTATGCAGGAAATGTAAATAGAAGATATGGTACAGGCTGGCCAAGACATAAACCTAATCAAAAATAACTAAAAGCCAGGCACCTATGTAATCCTAGTAATCCTAGCTACAGAGGAGGCTGAATTCTTAAAATTGTGGTTTGAAGGTAGCCTGGCAAGTCTGTGAAACTCTCAATTCCAATTAACCACTAGAAAACTGGAAGTGGCACTGTGGCTCAAAGTGGTAGAACACTAGTCTTAAGCAAAAAAGGGGGGACAGTGCCCAAGCCCGGAGTTCAAGCCCCACAACCAACAAAATATATAAAAATAACTAAAACAAAAAGAGCTATAGCCTTGGCTCAAGTGGGGAAAATCTCTGCCTACCAAGTGCAAAACCATGAGTTCAATAAAAAGTATAACCCAACCAAGACGTGTATGTACAAAGGACACATTATAATTTTTTTCATGCTCCTAATACTACTATACTACTTAGAGATGCTAATCAGTGGTTTGGTAATGTATCTTACGACTAAAAATGTTTGTATAAAGTGCTAAGGATCTAGTCTACAGTAAGTATCCAATACCTCCTCTCTCAATCAACTAGGAAAGAATAAAGCCATCTTTTTCCCAATGTAATAACCACTTTCTTCAGTAATAATAAAATGTTTTAGTTATATCATTTTTTTAAGTATCTACAAAAATAAAAAATGCTATTTCCCAAGAACATAAGGAGATCCCACTACCAGAGTGCTAAAATTGCTATAATTATCTTTAAGATTTAAATCTGACTGGGTACTGGTAGCTCATCCTTGTATTCCTCACTACTCAGGGAAGCTGAAATCTGAGAGTCAATGTTCTATGACAAACTGGGCAAGAAAGTCCTTAAGACTCATCTCCAATAAGCCACTCAGAAAAAGTCAGAAAAGGTGCTATGGCTCAAGTGGCAGAGCACTAGCCTTGGGCAAAAGAAGCTGAGGGACAGACCCGGGCTCTGAGTTCAAGCCCCAGAACTGCCCTCCCCCCCCGCAAAAAAAAAAACCTTAAATCTGAAGTTGATTTATTCTACCTCCTCCTCAAGAAAATGAAAATAGAAAGAAAACAAGATGAGACCAAATGGGTATTTTAAATATAGGGAAATACATAATGATTTAAGGGTAATTTATTATTTTCTTTGCTAAATATCTGGAAAACATTTATTAACATGGCATTATTAAATTAAAATATGAATTAAGTTATATGAATATGTAATTTTTATAAGTATACATATTAAATGCTGCATCAAGACAAAGCAAAAGGCTCACCTGGGTTTACCAGAATTGTTCATACACAAACTTTCTCACTGGCACAATGTGATTTAGGCGTCATGAACCTCTACTCACCCACAAGCAATATACTGTCCATTCCTTGATGTGGCAATGCTTAATGCACGTAAATTGCCTTCATCAACAAATCTGTTAAGGCACCTCCTAGAGTTCACATCCCAAATATAAACTTCGCCATCCCCTGAAGAAAAGATCCAAAGAAAAGCTTGGTTAATTTTGTTTTAAACCTGAAAGTCAAGTGAATTAACCATGTTTATAGGCCTAGTTAATATCATGGACTACAAAAAATAATACTCCTGCTTTCTAGAAAATGGACTACAAACATTTACTATAATGCTGAGGATCGAATCCAAGTCCTTGAACATGCTAGACAAACATTATAATCGTGAGATACATCCCCAGCCCCTAAAAAAATTTCCTGTGAACTTACACAGTTTAAAAAGTACATCCAAAGAAAGGACTTTACTTTTTTCTCTTCTTGTTGGTTGAGGGACTTGAATTCCTCCCTGAGCTCTTTTGATCAAGGCTAGCACTCTACCACTTTGAGCCACAGATCCACTTCTTGTTTTCTGGTGGTTAATTGGAGGTAAAAGTCTCAAACTTTCCTACCCAGGCTACCTTTGAACCATAAGCCTTAGATTACAGTTTCCTGAGTAGCTAGGATTACAGGCACAAGCTGAGCTAACAGAAAGGATTTTTCACTTAAAAAAAAAAAACAACAACAACAAAACATGATCCTCAGATCTAGGAAGAACTGATCCAGACACAAATAATTTACCATTTAACTTAGAAGATATATTCACTTTTTTAATCTTTCCAGGTCATTTCAATAACAAGGAATGCTACTAGTGATAAGCATAAATAATTTAGAGAAAGGGGGCTGGGAAGGTGGCTCAGTGGTAGAGCGCTTGCCTTGCATGCATGAGGCCCTGGGTTTGATTCCTCAGCACCACATAAGCAAAAAGAAAAAAGCCGGAAGTGGTGCTGTGGCTCAAGTGGTAAGAGTGCTAGCTTTGAGCTGAAGAGCTGAGGGACAGCGCCCAGGCCCAGAGTTCAGGCCCCATGACCAGACCCCCCCCTAAAAAAAAAAGAAGCTCAGGGACAGTGCCCAGGCCCTGAGTGGCACACACACACACACAAAAAAAATAATTTACAGAAAGAATTATGTGGGCAAGATAAAGATATTAAGCTAGGTGTCAGCCGGCCCAGATAGCAAAGTCCATGAGACTCTTACCTCTAATTAACCACCAAAAGAACACTAGTCTTGAGCAAAGAAGCTCAGAGTGCTCAGGCCGAGTTCAAGACCCAAGACGAGTTCAAGACCCAAGACGTGCGCACGTTCACGCACACATGCACACAAGCACACATGCACACAGGATATCAAATACGGAAAGACCACAAATATTTATATGTAAGCTAAGACCATCTGTGAAAATCAGTCTTCATTTCATTTTTTTCTCTCATCCAGTTGATTCTGACAACTCTCCTCCCTAATCCATTATCCACAGCTGTGATAACCCTACAGCCGCCTCAAAAATGGCTCCTCGTTCCCTACTAGATTATCTCTTCCTTTTCTGTAAATATTGTTCCAAAGTTCACCCTTCTGTATATGTTCCCTTATTCCCCACTTTAATGAGATCTGAGCCAATTTCAGTTCCATCTACTTCCTTGACAAATCAACTTCCTCAGGCTGGGCAAAGAATAAAGGTTAAGTAGCAATGAACATGCTAACACTGCATGTTGAAGGTGGCTAGTTCTTCAATATTACTATTTGTAAATGAGGAGGAAAATGTTAGTATAAAAGTTAGTTAGCTGGGCGCCGGTGGCTCACGCTTGTAATCCTAGCTACTCAGGAGGCTGAGATGAGGATCATGGTTCAAAGCCAGCCTGGCAGGAAAGTCTGTGAGACTCTTATCTCCAATAAACCACTAGAAAACGGGAAGTGGTGCTGTGGCTCAAGCGGTAGAGCGCTGGCCTTGAGCTGAAGAGTGCAGGAACAGTGCCTAGGCCCAGAGTTCAAGCCCCACGACCGACCAAAAAAAAAAAAATTAGTTATAAAAAGTTAGTTATAAAGTGAAATCTCATCTTCTAAGGAAACTAAAAAAAAAAAGTAATTTTTAATTAAATTTGGCACAAAGACATCCAAAGCTTCTGCTTCTCTTTTCATTAACTTACCAGACGAAGTATATATTTTCTTACTATCTGATGAGAAAGTGCATGCTGATACTCTTCCATTAATCTTCATGCTACCAATCAGCTCCTTGGTCTAAAATAATACATATCATTTACCAAATGTTAGTGAACTGTTCTCTAGTTTCTAGAAGTTAATTTTAAATCTTTTTCTGACCATCAAGATTTTCTACCAACTGCCCACAATTACTCCGCTAAGTACCTCTACTATGAAGATTCAAGGGTACACACTTAGGGTTCAAGATGTCTTTAATCCTGATATACTAATATCTAACTCAAAAGGAACAAGAGAACAACTAATAATGCTTTACCTTCATTGACAGTAAATGAGAATATCCAGCAATACCATTTATGAGCAAGAATGATCCATCTGGGGAGATTTCAAAACGTCTCACTACTTTCTCTTTCAAACCTATTAAAGGAGATGAATCAATTAAAATAAGGTTAATGTAAGTTTCAATAAAGTTATCACGTTCTTACAACTGAGTTTACCTTTTAAAATATCACAATGTTATGACTGAGCAAAATCCTATGGATCACCAAAAAGGACCCAAACAAAATGCTTGGTAAAACTGTCGTAGTTAACATTCACCATTTTAATTGTAAAACACAGATTCAGTTCTTCAGATAGTAAATATATCAATTTTCCAAATGTAAGTAGTAATGCACTATAAGAATAAATAATAAACGCATCAGAAATACTTCAGAATTGTAACTGCAACCTTGAGACTCCCAGCTAAATTCATATGCCCATTAATGTCTAAGAAACCCTGGCTCAAAGCACAATTAGATAAACGAAGAACCTACTAAGAAAGGATCATGAAAGGTATTAGAGAACACAGTAAAGAGTGCAAATAATAAAGATAAGCACCATAAATGTTTAAGTTGGCCTTATTCAGTCAATGGCAAGCAGAAATATGGCTGTAAAAAGCTACCCTTGTCCTTTTAGAGACACGTGCATTGTAACAAAACCGCCAGTGAGCTGTGGCTTGTGCCAACACTACCTCCCAGATTTATGACAGTAACTCAGCCAACCTCATTACAATGGCATTGGTCCCCAAAAGAATCATGAATGGCCGGGCACTGGTGGCTGATGCCTGTAATCCTAGCTACTCAGGAGGCTGAGATCTGAGGATCGCGGTTCAAAGCCAGCCCGGGCAGGAGAGACCGTGAGACTATCTCCAATAAACCACCAGAAAACCGGAAGTGGCGCTGTATTTCAAGTGGTAGAGCGCTAGCCTTGAGCTGAAGAGCTGAGGGACAGCGCCCAAGCCCAGAGTTCAAGCCCCACGACCAACCAAAAAAAAAAAAGAATCATGAATGAAGTGTCACTATATTTTGTGGTAACAGTAGAAGAATACAAAAGAATGGGTAAGGTTGAGAGCAAATAAATCTTTACTGATAAAAATAGTTTATTTTTTACATTATTTTACTCTTTATAAACAAAAAAAAAAAGACACAAAGCCAGGCACCAACCAGTGGCTCATGCCTGTAATCCAAGCTACTCGGGAGGCTGAGATCTGAGGATCATGGCTCGAAGCCAGTCTGGGCAGAAAAGTCTGTGAGATTCCTATCTCCAATAAACTACTAGAAAAAGCTGAAAGTGGTGCTGTGGCTCAAGTGGTAGAGTGCTAGCCTTAACCACAAAGAGGCTCAGAGACAGCGCCCAAGCCCTGAGTTCAAGCCCTAGGACTGGCAAAAGAAAGACACAAATACCTTCAAAGTTACAATAAACCACAGAAACAGATGATGTAATTCCTATCTATCAACGAAGTGAAGCATATGTCCAGGAGCTACAAGCCAGGTACATCTAACTCTCTCAGTTGCTAACTTTACAACCAAGAATCTGCAACTGCATTCTAGGGTGATATATTTGTAAATTATGATCATGCTGTAAATGCTTAAGAAAAAAGGCCAGTTCGCAAGGTGCCAGTGGCTCACACCTGTAATCCTAGCTACTCAGGAGGCTGAGATCTGAAGATTTCAGTTCAAAGCCAGCCCAGGCAGGAAAATCCATAAAACTCTTATCTCCAATAAACCACCAGAAAACCGGAAGTGGCGCTGTAGCTCAAGTGGTAGAGCGCTAGCCTTGAGCTCAAAAGCTGAGAGACAGCGCTCAGGCCGAGTTCAAGCCCCATGACCAACCAAAAAAAAAAGAAAAAAAAGGTCATTTTATTACCTTCATTTAAATACATTAGCTCAATAAAATGACATTTTTCCAAATGTTGTAACTAACACTCTTAAGATTCCTCTGAGGTGAAAAAGTGGTCATAATTATTGTTAAAATGAACTCAGCTTAGTGGGGTAGGGGGGAACTGGTTGGAAGCTCAACAGAAATCTTACCTCTCACTTGATGCACAGGAACTAACTTTCCAGCTAGCATATCATAGACATAAAGAACTTTGCTGTGAACACTTGTGGCTAAAACCTCTTCTCCATTTGCAGTAAAACAAGCCTTATAGATTGGAAACCTATCCAAATAGATGCTCTGGATTTTAGGATTTGTCTTGCCATCAACCTGTAAGAAAGTACAAAATGTTGCTCTTGGTTTTTTGTCCATAGACTCTATATGCTGGCAGTGAAACTATCACATTACAAGCCTTCCCTTACAAAGCATACCTGAAAGAGTGAAATAGAATTATCTAACCCAGCAACCATCACCACCTGAGCACAAGGGTGGAACTGAACTGAAGAAATCCGAGCAGTGGTAGGCCGTTCAGCATTGGCATGCTGGCAGTTCTTCATCTGTAGAATAATAAAGCAAAAATTTTATCAACTCAAATAATGTAGTGTAGAGAAACAAGCATTATGATTACAATAGAAAAGAACTGAATGGTAGCCAAAAGCTACAACTCTGGCACCAACTACAAGTCTCTTCTTTACAAGTATCCATGTTTACCACCTCTCCAATTACGGGATTAATAATCATTAAGACAGATCCTTTTGTTAAGGCACAAATAGGAAATGCTCCCCCAGAGACTCATGAGTCCCCAGTGGTAGTGTTGAAAACTGTAGGATATGGGGCCCCGATGAAGGAAGTAAGGCACTGAGAACATGCCCCTGGGACTAAATTTTGCTCTGGTTTTCCTCTTTCCTTTTCTCCTTTCTGGCTACTATGACATGATCGACTTTACTCCATGTTCTCCAAAGTATGTGAGAGTCCATCTCTGGTTTGTCAGCAAAAAGCAAGGCTGGAGTCAGGCACCAGTGGCTCACGCCTATAATCCTTAGCTACTCAGGAGGCTAAGATCTGAGGACCAAGGTTCAAAGCCAGCCCAAGTGGCAAAGTCCATGAGACTCTTATCTCCAATTAACCACCAGAAAATCGGAGGTGGCACTGTGAGACAAGTGGAAGAGCATTCGCCTTGAGCTGAAGAGCTGAGGGCATCACCCAGGCCCAGCGTTCAAGCCCCACGACCGACAAAATAAGTAAACAAATAAATAAAGCAAGGCTGGTAGTGGTGCTGTGGCTCAAGTGGTAGAGCACTTGCCTTGAGCTGAAAACCTCAGGGACAGCACCCAGGCCCAGAGTTCAAGCCCCATGACTGACCAAAAAAAAAAAAAGTTCTTTCTTTATGGCTGAGAATGTGGCTGAGTGGTAGAGTGCCTTGGGTTCATTTCCTCAGTACCACATAAACAGAAAAAGCTGGAAGTGGCACTGTGGTTCAAGTGGTAGAATACTAGCCTTGAGCAAAAGAAGCTCAGGGACAGTGCCCAGGCCCAGAATTCAAGCCCAAGGACTGGCAAAAACAACAACAAAAAATAAAAATAAAAAAAAATAAAATAAAAAGAAAGCAAGGCTGGACACATAGTTCAAATGGTAGAGTGCCAGCCATGAGTAAGCCAGCCAAGAAGGCATGAGGGAAGCATAATGTATACATTTGTTTGGAACCAGTGATTTATGTTAACTACATTTTCAATGGAGGTGAGTTCACTCTGTGAAGAACTGAATGAGCTGTGCTCTCTCTGTCTCTTAGTAACTTAGCAAAATCTAAAACATGCCATTTTATAGCGCGGGGTAAAAAAAGCTGTTAATTTGAGATATATAATTGAAGCACTTTACTCTGTAGGCACTTAAATACCACAATAAATAGCAGAAGTTAAAATGTAAATAGCATAAGCCACTTCATGCCTATAATCCTACTCAGGAGGCTGAGATCTAAGGATTGAGGTTCAAAGCCAGCCCAGGAAGGAAAGTCCATGAGACTCTTATATCCAATTAACCACCAGAAAACTGGAAGCACTGTGGCTCAAGTGGTAGAGCACTAGCCTTGAGTTGAAGAGCTCAGGGACAGTGCCCAGGCCCAGAGTTCAAGCCCCATGATTGTCCCCACCTACCCCCCCAAAAAAGTATTATCTAAAGTGGTACTTGAACAGAGACCAAGCTGGCCACTAGCAACACTTAATGGACAGACTGGAGGAAAAACATGGACAAAAGTTCACAGGTAAAAAAATAACCCAGCCTGTTTTAAGGAAAATAAAAGAAATATTTGTATGGCTCTAGCAGAGAACAAAGAAAAGGAAATGTGGGCAAAAGTTAGATCATGTAAGGCAGTGTAGACTATGATAGGAATTCACAGGGTTCCAAAAGGCAATAAAAAGTGGCATGATCAACACTTGGCTACTGTATGAAAAATGATTTAGAAGGAGGCAAAGTGTTAAATATAGAGGCCAGTCACAAAGCAACTACATGGGCCAAGGAGATGACAGCAATATGGTGAGGACGCTACCAAGGGAAATGCAAAGAGATATGCAAAAGGAGGAACTAAGTATGATTCAGGTTTTACTTTTTCATTTTTTATTTTTGCAGAAGCAAAAAGAAAAAAAAAAACTAACAAATATTTACCGAAGTAAAATGACAGCAAGCACAATTAATCTTACACATATCAGAAACCCATACATACTGTGAAGCTGAATAGATCTCAAAAATAATTGGTAAGTCCCAACTTCACCAACTCTCACCTTCAAGATTCCTCTTGGAAGAGAAGTTGATGTGGATATGAAATTCCCAGTCCTCTGCAACAGATCATCTTCATCTTCTTCACTTTCATCTAAGTCAGGGAAAACCATAAAGCTAACTTTAGAATAACAGTCTTTTACCTTATCTCAAACTACTCTATTTCCAACTGCAATTCCCCTCCTGGCCTTCTAAACTCAATCACCTTTTTAAAGTTCCAACTGGTAAAAGCAAAACAGCAGAACACATTTTAAAGGAAAAGACAATGATGACTTAGCATTTAGCATACATAGTTAAAAATCAAAGCTTGACTCAAATAGAAGATTAACACACAGATGGTGACTAAAGATGAAGTGAAACACGCAAGTTTAAATAAAGCCAGCAATTTCATTTAAAAAGAGCAACTCATAATTATGTCAAAATTAGCAACGGGAAGAACAGCAGAGCTTGCTTAACAACATAAATGCAGAAGAACTAAGAGTAAGAGATCCGTTGACTAAAAGATCACAGTCAGCAAAATGTATAATCCAACTCAGAAAGCTAACAAGGCTTCTTGTCCCCTAGACATGACTGAGAATAGTACAAGAAACAGCTGAGAAGTTGAACAGACTTCTTTAAACCCTCATGGAGCTAAGAAGGCCAAAACTAGCACACCAAGCCCTCTAAGCTTCTTGACAGAGGTCTGGTAAACTACCAGGCTTTCAATCAGGGCCACAAATGCTACAAGTAGGATTATAGGTAAAGTAAAAAAAAAAATTCAAGAACTGAAATCTAGCTTTAAACCTTCACAACTCCTCACTGGAATAACAATGGTCAGCACTCAGTGAAATATAGTAAGGCCAATATTAGTATTATAATTTGACTGAAAATCAAAGAAAAAAAATGCACAGGTATCAAAGTAATAAAGAGCCATCAAACTTTTTGGGGACAGGAAGAGAGGTTGAAAAATTAGGGGTAGAAAATCCTTTTTTTTTTTTTTTTTGGCCCAGTCACTTGGATATGTGTAAATTCATTTGTGGGCCATACAAAATTATCAATGCAAGCAGACAATCATGGGCAGCTGACAAGAAGTATATGTCTATCCCATCAGGTACCAAATTCATGGGCCTCATCTGTCCACCAGGAAGATATTCCTCATTTCTGCCCTATACTTCCCTCTGAGAAACAACAGACTTCAAAATCTGAGCATCAGCTAAAACAAAACAAAAAAGGCCTCTTGAAATACTAGATTTTAAGGAACATAAGAAAACTCAAATAATAACAGAGTAAGTAAAGAGACTAACAAGCCATCAACTCACCATCTGAAGATGTTTTCTGCTTACTAGTCTCTGCCCATGCAGGTACTCCTCCCATAGCATGTTGAAATCTAAACAAAATATTGAAAAACAAAACAATGTTGTGGTAATCTTCATGTTCATAGACGTGGATATATAAAATATATAAGCATCCTTTATGTATAAATTTCTACCAGTCACTACCTTTAAGAACAAAAGTTCTCTTATTCATATAGAGCCTATGTTGAGAACTTTCATGAACCTCTGCTCACCTAAAGTAATCTTGGCTATAGAACATCTAGACACAAATCTGTTGTTAAGTTTATGTCTAGATATTTGTCTTATTTTCTCAGAGAAACACAAATGTTCAAGACTAAGAAAGAAGTCTCTTTGTGGTTACAAACTAGTGACAGAGTACATTAAATTTGTAATAGACTAGTGAGAATAAACAAAGCTTCATCATATATCATTTAAATAGGTGCTTTCCACCTGAAAAACAAAACAAACGTTAATAGTTGTTCTAAAAGTAGCCAGAAGAGATCAGAGAGTCATTTTTAATTCTTTAACACAGAAGTACAAACTAACCAGGTACCAGTGGCTCCTATCTATAATCCTAGCTACTCATACGGCTGCCATCTGAGGACAGAGGTTCAAAGAAGTTCCAAGCCAGTTCAAGAAGAGTCTGTAAAACTCAATTTAAATTAACCTGCAAAAATGCCAACCAGAGGCAAGTCTCAATGATAGAGCAACAGCCTAGTGTAACAAAGATCAGTGAGAGCATGAGGCTGAATTCAAGCCCAAATAATATTAAAAAAAATTAAAAACCCTCCAAACACAGCCACTAGCTATAAACTACTAGAAAAATGGACAAAAACATATGAAACTACTTTCAGAAATTGGACAACAGGCATTAGTGTACTGAGCACTACAATCCCCAGAAAATTTCCCAACAGTATTAATGCCTGTTCACACTATGTCCATTTGTTTTTGTTTTTTTAATTTTCCTGAACAAAACAGCTCTGGGAGAGTTCAAGCTTGGGGGTTGGAGGTGGGAACTAAAAATGTAACCAAAAAAGATGCTATGCTGCTATAGCCAAAGACAAGAGAAAACAAAGGTAAACTACTAGATATATATCTCCTGGTGAAGCCAGTAAAAAGTGATACTTACTCTTCTTTGAGCCTCTTTTGAAGCTTATCTTTTGAGAGTTTAGTTTCTGTGGCATTTTTCATCATATCTTTCCGAAATCGATTTTTCTTCATGTCAACCCTGTGAAATAAAGAACAGCAAAATTTAACTGGCTCACACCTGTAATCCTAGCTACTCAGGAGATTGAGATTTGAGGATTGCAGTTCAAAGCCAGCCCAGGCAGGAAAGTCTTATCTCCAATTAACCACCAGAAAACTGGAAGTGGTGCTGTGGTAGAATGCCTGCCTTCAGCTGAAGAGCTGAGGGACAGTGCCCAGTCCCAGAGTTCAAGCCCCACAACTGACAGAAAAATAAAAAATTAAGCAATTTTAAAGTCATCATAAATTGATAGTACCTTTAGTATTTTCCAAAGCATTTAATGGAACAATATTGGTTATGACTGTAAGATATGGTGGTTGATGGTGTAGCTCAAGTGGTACTGTGCCTGCCTAACTTTCAGGAGGCCGTAAGTTCAAAACCTCAGTATCATGAAAAACATAAAAAGATTATAAGACATGGAATATCTCATATGCATACTCTCTATTCTTTTTCCTTTGGTTCTCTGGTATTCCAAATCATACAGTTACTGTTTAGAGAGCTAGTATTTCACAACACTCATCATAACTTACCTAGAAATATTCTTCAAAATAAACCCCAAGTAAGAATAAGAGCTCAATATACAAAAAGCAAACTTTAAAATAACTATGAAGAAAAAATGTGCACAAAAGTTGTCTCTTTATGATAAAGGACATTTCCCAGTTAAAAGTTATAAGTTATTAGAGATCATAAAAAAAAAATATTCCAGGCACTGATGACTCACACCTGTAATCCTAGCTACACAGGAAGCTGAGATCTAAGGATCGCAGTTCAAAGCCAGCCCAGGCAATAAAGTCCATGAGACTATTATCGCCAATAAACTACTCAGAAAAGGCCAGAAGAGACTCAGGGACAGTGCACAGGTTCTGAGTTCAAGCCCCAGGACTAACAAAGAAAAACAAAAAGATAATAAACATTTTAAAGAAAAACAGTAAGTTGGGTGATAGTGGCTCGTGCCTGCATTTCTTTCTACATAGGAGCCTGAGATCTGGGGATTAAGGTTTAAAGTCAGCCCAGGCAAAATGTCTGTGTAATTCTTTTTTTTGCAGGGGGTCCAGTTGTGGGGGCCTGAACTCTGGGCCTGGGCACTGTCCCTCAGCTCTTCAGCTCAAGGCTAGCACTCTACCACTTGAGCCACAGCACCACTTCTGGCTTTTTTCTTTTTGCTTATGTGGTACTGAGGAATCGAACCCAGGGCCTCAGGCATGCAAGGCAAGCACTCTACCACTGAGCCACCTTCCCAGCCCGGTCTATGTAACTCTTATCCCCAATTAACCACCAAGAAGTTGGAATGCAGCTCAAGTGCCAGAATGCCAGCCTTGAATGAAAAAAGCTAAGGAAGAATAGCCTGGTCATGAGTTCAAGCATCATTACTGAGGCAAACAGACAAACAAGAACCAAAAGGATGAGGAAGTTTCAAAGATTAGACTATCTTTTTTTCCTCTTTGTCAGTGCTGGGGCTTGAACTCTGGGCCTGGGTGTTGTCCCTTAGCTCTTCAGCCCAAGGCTAGCATTGTACCACTTGAGCCACAGCACCAATTCCAGTTTTCTGGTGGTTAATTGGAGTTAAGAGTCTCAGGGATGTTTCTGCCTGATCTGACTTTGAACAGAGATCCTCAGATCTCAGCTAGGATTACAGGCATGAACCACAGGCTGCATTCAGAGAGATCAGACTTATCTTTGTTGTTTTTTTTTTTGGGTCCGGTCGTGGGGCCTGAACTCTAGGCCTGGGCACTGTCCCTCAGCTCTTCAGCACTTGAGCCACAGCGCCACTTCCGGCTTTTTTCTTTTTGCTTATGTGGTGCTGAGGAATCGAACCCAGGGCCTCATGCTTGCAAGGCAAGCGCTCTACCACTGAGCCACCTTCCCAGCCCAAGAGATCAGACTTATCTTAAGGACTGAACTGGACACTTTCCAAGAAGGTAAACTGATACGCAATCTAGCAGTATTTATCAGGAGCCTTAAAAGATATCTGTGCTATATAATCAAGTAATTCTATCCACAAAGAATCTTAAGGAATAAGAAAAAAATGTTTATGGAAGTGGCACTGCGGCTCAAATGGTAGAACACTCATCTTGAGCACCCAGGCCCAGAGTTCAAGCCCCACAACTGAAAAAAAAAAAAAAAAAAGAAGTTAAGCCAGGTGCCAGTGGCTCACCCCTGGAACACAGCTACTCAGGAGGCTAAGATCTGAGAATTGCAGCTCAAAACCAGCCAGGTTAAGAGAGTCCATGAGACTCTTATCTCCAATAAACCACCAGAAAACCAGAAGTGGCACTGTTGCTCAAGTGGTAGAGCACTAGCCTTGAGCTTAAGAGCTCAGGGACAGCACCCAGGCTCAGAGTTCAAGCCCCACAACCAACCAAAAAAATAAAAATGTTTATTTATGAAGGTATTTACCTCAGTATTAATGTAATACAAAATATTTATCCAAAAAGTTACATAAATTATGATTGATTCATTCAAGGGCTACAACAACCATTTAAAATTGCATAATTTTTTTTTTACATGAGATGTTTACAAAGTAACTTCAGGCAGAATATGTCAAAATATCAAATATACAGTACACACTGTATACTGTGAAATTACATCTGTGTGTGAAAGTTTTCTTTTAAGCCTTCAGCTTCAAGCATCATATACTAGAAATTTTATATGCACTATCTTAACCCCAACAGCCTGTTACTATTATTTATGCTGCTTTTGCAAATTAAAAAAAGGTGGATTTCAAGCTTGTCCATGCTGTTTGGAACTGGTCAATTTTAAAAAAAGGCAAGCTCAGCACCAAGACCAAACTATGTCCTCTTGAGAGCTAGTGTACATTGTACAGAAAAGACCAGATGGGCCAAATGCATGGTTCAGTGACAGAATGCCACTCTAGCAAACCTAGATAGGGAGAAACCTATACCAAAGGTTAACAAAAGTTCTCCCTCAACATGGGATGATAAACAACCTTTTCAACAATCACACCTTTTTAAAATATTATTAATTTTCACCACCTGCTGCAATTTCTCATGCATGATTCTAAGTTTCATTTCATTGATGGAATCAGTTCATGGGAAAATGACTATCTAGATTCTAGAAGGAACAAGCAACTTACATTTCTTCATCTTCATCTTCTTCATCCACCCAGACTGGTTTCTTCTGGGGGGGAAAATTATCATGTGCTTCATTCTCCCCTTCAGAATCATCCAAGATTCCACCATGTTGAGTCTACAGAAAGACAAAACACATTCAAGCTCTGAGTTCTTATCCTGTGGTGGTAAACAGACCCCTCATCCTTTGAAGACTTGTAGAATGCATATGGCCCTCTGATGAAATAACACAAAATGCTACCACAACAATAGCAAGAGGCAGAAGCAGAAAATGGGTAAAACATAGATGGAAGGTGAGGCAAAATAAAGCCATCTGAAAAACTCAAAGCACTGAAAGGAAAATACTATTAGACAAGAGCAAAGCTAAGTGGGCAGATGAAGAAAAAGGCAAACAATAAAATCACAAAAATTACAAGACCCAGAATTAATTCTACAGACTAAAAATTAAAGATAAGGTAATCCCTACCTCATATTCTTAGGTACATCTCTTTTCCATTGTTCTTGACTGTGGTTGGCCCCCACATCCTTGAAATTTTATACCAAAATATGTAATCTAAATCCAAACCATAGAACCCCGATAAAGTGATATGGGGCTCCCCCAACCCACAAGACAGTAATGTCCTATAGCTGTTTTAAGCTCACTCAAATACCATCGGCACAGTCCCAGTTGCACATTTTTCCAGTCCTTCTCCCAACTACCTGCTAAATGTGTATTAATTTAGCAGAGGGAGGCAGTAATTCTGCCAGACTGTCCTTGGCCATTCAATCTACGAACTTCACACACCTCCACTTTTATCTGCTTTACCTTGCATCTAGATCATTACTGGTTACAAAGGCTCCAAGAGAGCAGAGAGATTTTTGTTGTTGTTGTTAGTTATGTCCATTGCTGGGTCTCTTCCAACGCCTAGAATCTCTACGTTGGTGCAAAAACCAGATATAAAATAAAGCGAATGACAGAGAGCAAAAATTTAACTTTAGTCACGCCGGGTATTGCCGGTTGTCAGGAAGCGTTGAGTTCTGGCATCCAGAAACTTGAGAATACGTACCAAAGGACATACACTTCTCAAAAGCTGATGTATGTGTGTGTGTGTGTATATATATATATATATATATACATATATATGTGCATATATGTGTGTGTGCGTATATATATGTGTATATATATATATATCGTGATCACGCTGGGGGCGGGAGGGGAAGGTTTAAGATGGTCAAAATGCAGATTCCCAGGCCGGAACTCGGGGAAGCTCGGGCGAAGAACGGCGGTAGGTGATCCACCCCACGACTGCCCGGAGTTCGCTCGGAAGATAACGGAGCTGACTGTCAAAGGCGCTCTCCGCCGGAATTTTCCAAAAACAAAGGAACGAAGTATGCTGCGGAGCGCCTGCAGCGGTACTACCAGGAGCTCGGGCCGCTCGGGGAAGGGGGGAAAGCGCGGTCCGCACCCGCCCAAACCCGCACCCGGCGCCGCAGGCGGAGTGCGCGCGGCGGAACCCCCACCCCCGGCGTCCGCCTTCCGGCCTCTCCCCCCACCCCCTACACACACCTGTGCGCTCCCCTACACACGCACACACACGCGTGCACACACCTGAGCGCCC